CATATGCGTAGCAAGGCACGAAGTCATCTGGCAGCGTATCTATGGACAATGGTGCACCAGTCACAACGTCTTCTTGGAAAGGTATGTGGACAACCGGTTTGTCATCTTCCCTTCTCCATCCTCAGGTCACCCGGCGCCCCCACTGGAGGCACTGCTCCAGGCTGACTTCTGCCGTGCTGGAACAAGTGGGGTCTTCAGAGTTCCTCGGCTTCGTCATCGATGTTGGCCATTTACTACAAAACCCCTACAAAAATCTGGCAGATAAGAGGACCACGCACTGCTGGAAGCCTCTCCATCCTCCTATCAGGAGCTCGGTCACGGTCAGCCCTTGCCGGATCAACTTCGCATCATCTATTTGTCCGCAGGCTACAAGTCAGCTGACCTGCAACATCTGTTTCACCTACCGGCGACTCCAATACGAAAGAATCCTCAAGCGCCTGCCTTTTTGGTTCTTTACTCTCATGTGTCCGCGTTTGTTTTTTCTTGTTTCTTGATGTTCGTGTTGACCCTTGTGCTCAAACACTGGTTCAATCAGTGCTGCACTTCCTGCGGACCTCCGCGGGCTGTCGCCATGCTCGGCCGCATGATAGCGCTTCATCACCGCGTGTCTCAGAACGCTGGTGACATGATGCAGCTCATTCAGGAGACCTTGGACCTAGCTGACGAGGCACACAACCTGTCTATCAGATGTCGGCGCCGTGTGTCAAACCAATGACAGGCAACGTAGTTGATAACATGTTTCGCACCAAGTTCTGCTGAGGCTGTGAGCAGCTTCGCCTCCGCGCGTCCACTAGGTAATTTCCTATCAGCGACGGACGTGGCAAAGTAATCGCTTGCCTCGTTCCCGCAGGCCCGATTTTTTTTACGCGAGTGTTGTGCGACCAAGTTGCGCTGTCCCCGCTTTCGCATCATTAGAAGATCCTGGGGGACATAAACTGCCTAGTAAGCAAAGCAGACAAGCTTGCTTACATGGCTCGGTTTTTGCAACCGCCGCTCCAGATACGGCAGAGCCGTTGCAACGATTCATCCGGCGTATCCTCTCACATTCTGGGTAAAAATCGCACATTTTGTGTCTCCGTCGGGCCTGGAAAGCCGGGAAGAGCTTCCCAAGCTTGAGAGAACAGATGAAAATGACTTGCGACCAGCTCCCTCTTGGCTTCTTCTGCAGAGTCCTGGTCAACAGCAACCGGGACGCAGCTCGAGCCGCCTTCTTCTGCAATTTAAGAGAGCGCGGCAAGAATCAACTCGATCTTGGGTTTGCCGGAGTTATCCACGCTGAGTATGTCAAATGTCCCGTGGTGAGCACGTGGGAGCTCAGTGAACGCATGGATCTGGATGAGTACTGGGGTCAGTGATACCAGCCAAGTGTTTGGCTTGGACTTCCCAAAGCGCGTCACAGCCACAGTTTGGAGTGTCAAGCGCGGACTGGCAGGTCGACGCCTGGATGAAATCCAGTTGCCAGAGCTAACGTGGCAGGGGTGGTCAAACCACCACTTCCGAATGTTTGCATCCGGTAGGTTCAGTAGCATAGTGTGGGCTCGTAGCATCCGTGGTGCAAATTTTCTCACAACGTTGCAGGACCACCTGCGACAAATAAACACATAGACTTGGATATGCTCGCTGAAGAATTCGTTCGGCGCCACAATCTCGTTCCTGAGTCAGGGCATGATGATTATCATGTTGCAGGCAGCCAATGAAAGCGATCGAAATCTCGAAGCTGAATCAGGCGCAGCCGGCTCAGGCCTGCTCCAACCAAAAGGCGACGCGCTGCGCAAGTCAAGCCAGCAGATGCGTCCCAGCCCAAGTCCCTCTTGGAAAAAGCGCTCGATTTGAAGCGCCGATCCAGGATCGTGTTTTGTGCAAGAACTTTCCTCCCAAGGGGTCGCGCAATGGGTAGCAAAACTGAAGCTACCGAAGACCAAGATTGCTGCTATCCAGCAGGAGCTTCCAAGTCTTTGAATGATGAACAGCTGTTGCAACTCCCAGACAGGGAAGCCTTATGGGGCCTTCCTGAAAGCCTGCTGAACTGTTGAAAATTCTGGCGGTCTCGGTCTCAGCGCACATGTGAATTTCCGGCAGCTCTGCAAGGCCAGCACGTGTCCTGCGAGCTCGCCCTTCCTTGGTTATTGACCCGCCAGCGGTTCCACTCCATGGTGATCTTGCCTTTGTTTCGATGTTCATCTCTGTTGGAGCGCCGAGCCCTGGAAACAGTGATTTATTCAAAGGTGGAGGCCTCTCAATTTCCCCATTATCCTCAAACTGGGACCACTTTTAATGCAAGCTCCAGCGTGTGTTTGCAGCATGGTAAGCGTATCACTCGGAAGCTGCGCAAGCTCACGTGTGCCAGGAAGACTTTGAATTGGTGATGCGCTAAACGACCAGACTCATCTATGGGCAGTCCTCAGTGTTCAGCCAAGATGGCCTGAAGTGCTTTGAGATGACCAGAAATTACGCTCCAACCAATTCTCTGTAGAGCATTTTAATTCTATTTGACAACTTGGAAGCACCACCACGCAGCCAAGTCCGTTCTCTTCTGAAGAAGGCTTTGGATTGTCGCAAACCACGAGTGCACACAGCGCTGGCACTTCCTCTTCTGGCTCATGATTCCTTTCCGGACACACTTCAACGGTGGCTGCATTCCTTTTCATGTGCGCAAAGTCAAGGTTGTCGCTGGAAAGCACCCATCCTTGACTTCTCTGTTGTGCAACCATTTTCCAAAAAATGGATCAAGTCACATTGCGGGCCCTGCTGCCTCTCCCAATGTTTCACGTTGGCTTCGCAACTTGTTGGCTTTCAACAGTGGTGTTCAAGTGTACACTCAGCAACTAGAATACCTTGACATATCCTGGTCAAAGCTCCGGCAATGGATGACACGCTGCGGAGTTTTCACTGTTTCAAAACACCAATGGCGAGACTTTGCACACAGCCATTGGAAGGAACATTGCCGCGCAGCAGTTCAGCCTTGGTCTTTTGAAGATATCAAATACCTTTGCCGCATTTTACGCCATTTTGTGATTCTTGGCCAAGATCATGCTGCGCAAGAGGTGCACATTGTTTGCCCCAAATTGTACCACAAGGTTCTTCGATCTACGTTTGGGGATGCTACTGTTTATCGGACCCTCACCTTGTCTCCAACGCAGGCGAATTTGTTGCTCCGCGACCCTGCGGATCAACCTTGGTTGCGGAGATACAGATGAGCCATCACCAACAACTCCCGCCCCCCACCCCTGGCTTATATCCTGTTGAAAAAGAAGAAGGATTTTTTGTTTGCTCGACCGATAATTTGCCACCACCGGTTCGTGTGCAGACCTTTGCCGTGCACTTGCTATAGTGTTGGAGATGATAAGGCAGTCTGTTTTCCCATTAACGCTGGTTTTCCGACGACTGCGTACCTTTTTGGAGCAACTGGACTCTCAGTCCATTTGACCATGTACAATCAGGACTTGACTGGCTCTTTCACCTCAATCCCAGCTCCGCGCATTCTTGCAGCTGTCCAATCACAGATGCAACAGTTTTCAGCGCCAACGTGCGAGAGAAGGACACCAAGTGACAGGTTTCGCGAGGGAGAGTCCGACGCGCAGCGCAGCGCCAACGCGAAATTCGACTCCAAGACATTTTGCCGCTTTGCGAACTGTCGCTGAGAGCTTCTGTTTTCACCGACACTCAACGCATCTTTCAGCAAAATACAGGCTCAGCTGTTGGGAAATTGGTTTCGTTCACCGGTTCTTGCAAATATCACTGTTTCCATGTTGGAGAACGAATGGAGGGCCAATGCTGGAACATTCTCCTCTATAATCTCAGCACGGGTGTTTTTTTTGCCTGTTACGTAGATAACAGGCTTTTTTTTGCACCAGGATGCCTTTCGAGACTTTTGCAGTCTGGATTTTACCAACCCCCCCGTCCAGCTCGAAGACGTAGCTGACGGGGAGTTTCTGAAATTTACCATCGATCCCGCACTGCGAGCTGTTAAGTTTCGTTTGCCGGCTGACCAAAATCAATTCCGACCACTCAAAATAGCCGGAGCCCGGGCCCATAAGTTTGCACCTGCGCATTCTAGAATGACCACGCAGCCAGATATCGCGATGTGCGTACCCAACATCCCAAAGCTGTCAAAGACACCCAGGCGTTAGCTGATCTGTACATTCGCAAGGGATTTCCACCCAAGATCGCGCATCGAATTCGGAGGAAGTGTCTGCAATAAGTGGTGTGCTTTTTTGTTTCCTGTTTTCTTGCACTTGGTTTTTTGGCAGAAATGCAGCCAGCTGCATTTACGCAGTTTGTTTCAAGCAATGCCTATAGTGGTAGTCACTGGGGCTGTCTACTCCTGTTCAACACCAGATCCGCTGAGAAGCAGTCTAAGTGTGCAACCTTGATTTCTAAAAAAAGGAGAGTGGAACCCCACAAGAGCGGCCACGCGGCTTGGGTCAACAAAGCTCCGCGTGGCACGCTAGGATATCATGGGGACGACCAATGATGTACCTGCATCCTACTCTCCTACACGGGAGTTTAGCACAGTGTGTGGGCGTGCACGTTTGCGCAACGTGGCTAGCTGCCATGCCTGCGCTTGTTACATGGGCGCGGGGGGCCGGGAACCCATGAACGTCGGTCCTGGCTAACGAAGACCAGACATTTCGGGGGTGAAAACGTACCTGCCCTTCGGCCGACTTGTGATGGCTTTTCCGGTGCTGCTTCTGCAAGTTCCTTCGGCGTTTTTCGTGACGTGTTGATTCTGTTTGCTTCTTGCAAGTGAAACCAGTCTTGACACGGACGAGAGCTACGAAGTGCAGGCTTGGCCACTATTTCGTCAACACACTATTTTGTCAACGTAGGTGCTGGGCATGTTCAAAGGGGAACAACATTAAAAGGAGCTTTCTTGCACAAAAGGTGAGTTAGACATCCCAACTACCTCCCCCAAAACAAAGACGCCCAAGGAACCTTTGCGGCGTTGGCCCGACCGACCCTGGAGGGCGCTCGGTTTGAACCACTCCTGTTTCGCGCAGATGCCGCGCCACCAGTGGCGCCTGCGGCGCCGGCGCCGCCGGCCGCAACTCCTGATGCGGCTGCAGGCGGCGGATTTGGGCGCAAGGCAGATGCAACACATCCTAAACCCACGCAACAGCCAGTCACCCACCCAAAACCACCGAACGCCAGTCAGAGAGTGTGGTAATTGTGGCCACTCAGCCACGCTTAGTCTTGCGGTTTGCAAAGCAAGCTGGGCGTGACAAACGTTCGTATTTCACTACTTAGTTTGGCACCCACGATGTAGCGCAAAGGGTTAGGCGCCCGCAACGAAGCACAAAGGGAGGGTGTTTTGGGTCACAGCTGAAATAAGCTGATGAACTCAATCATTCCGTTTGGATCAGTGAGGCCCAAGATGAGCTTATTAGATTGAAGGTCGACAGCCTGATCTCTGAAGATGGAAGCCGAAACTTGATGGCAACACTTAAGCGAGCTTTCACACCTTCGCACCCTCGATGCCTTCCCAAGCCTCCGACCTCACTTTGGGGTAAACAAAAATGAAACTGAGACTCGGATGCTCATGTGGAATGCGTGGCCGGTTGTCAGTTCCAATCCTTTTATACGGCCCACAGGCCAGGTGCGCTTTTCCAGATTCAGGCAGCCAATGATGACTCGGCTTGTCTCTTTCTGGCATGCATCGCAGCAAGCCTTGGTCCAGTTTTCCTTGCCTTTTTGGGTTGCAATCCAGCGTTGCAATCTTATGGTGTTGCAAACCACAAGTTGTAAGGGCAATATGGAAGTCAAACGCAATAGAAATTTTCAGCTTGCCGCAGGCCCAGAGGATGACCTCATGCGCCGCCTGGAGCGCCGGCCCTGGTGTCCCAAATGCCCCGTAGACCTTTGGCAAACGCATGAGCAAGGCAGGGTATGTGTTAAACTTGGGAATTGGACCCCCCCTAAATGTTCGAGTTCCCTTTTACACCCAAATATGGTAACCAGGTGACTCCACTGATGGGACCCCAGAATTAATAAAGCCGCGATTGATTTTTAGGGGGATGGTGTTGTTGTTTGTTTGTTGTCTGTTGGTTGGTTGTTTGTTTGTTGGGTTGGTTCGTTGCTTGGTTGGTTGGTTGTTGGTTGCTTGCTTGCTTGCTTGCTTGCTTGCTTGCTTGCTTGGTTGGTTGGTTGGTTGGTTGGTTCGTTGGTTGGTTGGTTTGTTGATTGGTTGGTTGCTTGCTTGCTTGGTTGGTTGGTTGCTTGTTTGGTTGCTTGGTTGCTTGGTTGTCTGTTTGTTTGTTTGGTTGCTTGCTTGCTTGCTGGCTGCTTGCTGGCTGTTATTGGTGTTGTTGTTGTTGTTATTGTTGTTGTTGTTGTTGTTGTTGTTGTTGTTGTTGTTGTCGTTGTCGTCGTTGTCGTCGTTGTTGTCGTTGTTGTCGTTGTTGTTGTCGTTGTCGCTTTCGTCGTCGCTGTCGCTGTCGTTGTCGTTGTCGTTGTCTTTGTTGTTGTTGTCGTTGTTGTTGTTGCTGTTGCTGTTGCTGCTGCTGTTGCCGTTGCCGCTGTCGCTGTCGCTGTCGCTGTCGCTGTCATTGTCGTCGTTGTCGTCGTTGTCTTTGTCGTTGTTGTCGTTGTCGTTGTTGTTGCTATTGCTGTTGCCGTTGCTGTTGCCTGTTGCTGTTGCTGTTGTTGTGGTGGTGGTAGTAGTTGGTTGTTGCTTGTTGCTTGTTGGATGTTGGTTGGTGGTTGGTGGTTGGTGGTTGTGGTTGTGGTCGTTGTCGTTGTCGTCGTTGTTGTCGTTGTTGTTGTCGTTGTCGCTGTCGTCGTCGCTGTCGCTGTCGTTGTCGTTGTCTTTGTTGTCGTTGTCGTTGTCGTTGTTGCTGTTGCTGTTGCTGCTGCTGTTGCTGTTGCTGTTTGTGTTGCTGTTGCTGCTGCTGCTGCTGCTGCTGTTGTTGTTGTTGTTGTTGTTGTTGTTGTTGTTGTTGTTGTTGTTGTTGTTGTTCTTGTTGTTCTTGTTGTTCTTGTTGTTCTTGTTGTTCTTGTTGTTCTTGTTGTTCTTGATGTTGTTCTTGTTGATGTTGTTGGTGTTGTTGTTATTGTTGTTGTTATTGTTGTTGTTGTTGTTGTTGTTGTTGTTGTTGTTGCTGTTGTTGTGGTTGTTGTTGTTGTTGTTGTTGTTGTTGTTGTTGTTGTTGTTGTTGTTGTTGTTGTTGTTGTCAATGTTGTCGATGTTGTTGGCTGTTGTTGGTTTTGTTGGTTGTTGTTGGTTGTTGTTGGTTGTTGTTGGTTGTTGTTGGTTGTTGTTGGTTGTTGTTGGTTGTTGTTGGTTGCTGTTGGTTGTTGTTGGTTGTTGTTGGTTGCTGTTGGTTGTTGTTGGTTGTTGTTGGTTGTTGTTGGTTGTTGTTGGCTGTTGTTGGTTGTTGTTGGTTGTTGTTGGTTGTTGTTGGTTGTTGTTGGTTGTTGTTGGTTGTTGTCGGTTGTTGTTGGTTGTTGTTGGTTGTTGTTGGTTGTTGTTGGTTGTTGTTGGTTGTTGTTGGTGTGTTGTTGTTTGTTGTTGGTTGTTGTTGGTTGTTGTTGGTTGTTGTCGGTTGTTGTTGGTTGTTGTCGGTTGTTGTCGGTTGTTGTTGGTTGTTGTTGGTTGTTGTTGGTTGTTGTTGGTTGTTGTTGGTTGTTGTTGGTTGTTGTTGGTCGTTGTTGGTTGTTGTTGGTTGTTGTTGGTTGTTATTGGTTGTTGTTGGTTGTTGTTGGGTGTTGTTGGTTGTTGTTGGTTGTTGTTGGTTGTTGTTGCTGGTGTTGGTGTTGGTGTTGGTGGTCGTGTTGGTGGTGGTGGTGGTGGTGTTGTTGGTTGTTGTTGTTGTTGGTGGTTGTGTTTTTTGTGGTGGTGGTGGTGCTGCTGGTGGTGGTGGTGGTGGTGGTGGTGGTGGTGGTGGTGCTGTTGTTGGTGGTGGTGGTGGTGGTGGTGGGGTGTTGGTGTTGGTGTTGGTGTTGATGTTGGTGTTGGTGTTGGTGTTGGTGTTGGTTGGTGTTGGTGTTGGGGTCGGGGTTGTGGTTGTAGTTGTTGTAGTTGTTGTTGTTGGTGGTGGTGGCGGTGGTGGTGGTGGTGGTTTGTTGTTGTTGTCGTTGCATTTATGAGGGGTCTTTTGCATTTGGAGGAAACACCCGGAGGAAGCACCAGCCAGGTTCGTTTGTCCTAGTTCAGAGGATTTATACGGCAAGGCCTTCATGGCAGCTTGCAACCAGTGTTGCCACAACCAGGGCACTGGCCCACTTTCGCTCGGTGTGAAGCGGTAACATGGGAGCTCCGCCCTTCACAATGTTTGGTTTTTGTCCAGTTGGTTTCCTTTGGGAGATCAGCTGCGTAAGGTTCTTCGAGGAGCGACCAAAGATGAGCACCTCCCATTGCTCGCGGATTAGACTTTCCAGTTTGATCGAAAGCCTGTCACGACAGCAGCGCCCTGGCGGTTGCGAATGAAAGAGCCTACCCAATAATTCCTGGATGCATTGGAGGAAGTGTCAGAAAGACTAACACCCCGGCAGGCATAGAGCTGCATCATTGTGCAGCTTCTTGGTTCTTGCGCAGCCACCAAGTAGCTACAGACAGAACCCAGATGCCTGCTCGGTCAGGAAGCCCACTGGGGGTCCAACAGTTGGCTGGAACCCAGGAAATTGACTTTCCTTTTTTAATTTTCTTTGTAACATCTATTGTAAAGGACCGGATGCTTAGAATGGAGTTGGGTACTATTGCGCCAATTTGCCCTGTGTGTATTGGCTTGGCGGGTCTCTGGAAAGCCACAAACAAGAGACCGTCGTTTGGATTTCGCGGCCGCGTCGGGCTCAGGGCGCTGAAGAAGATGTGAGTCGCGCCTGGGCCTCACGGTTTTGCCTCACGCGGCAAAGCCCGCCGGATGAATTTGAGGCGGTTCTACCTGGTCTTGAGGCAGTTAGTAAGGCTTGTATGGACCTCTTACAATCTTGGTAGAACCAAAATCAATTTGTTTTGAGAAAAGCTCAAATGAGGGAAAATCCTACCACATGGTCGGTGGAGTTCAATCCCGATTTAATGATGTCCGCCGACGGGTCTTTCATTGAGATTCACGCCCATATCCTGACACGAATTATTGATTGGCCAATCTCTTTGTGACCCATCGTGACCTTGCGTAAGCATGTAGCATGTCCAGTGCATGTTTTTGAAGGTAAATTTAGATAAATAAGATAAGTACAGATCTTCATACGCACAAACACGCACATACGCCCTTTTGAAATCGTGAGTGAACATGTAGGGCCCTTCAAACATGTCGACACAGGGGCACTTCATCTCCAATGCAGTTTAGCTCATTTGCAGCAAGTGCAGCCACCTGCTGACAATTTCGCCGACAGGCCGTGTGTTTGATGAACTGGAATGCCGCGCCCCGCGCTGATGAACCTGGTCCAGTCTTCGGGTGGGGGGTGGCCTCCCCTGTAGGCCGTGTGCAGCCAAGGCCCGGGCAAAACCCCCAACCGCCACGGGGCAAAGGCGAGGCGGGTCGCGGGAAAGAATTGGCCCCATTGTGTGCATGGGTTTGTCTCCAAGTTTGGGACCCCGAAACATTTTGGTTTGCTTTTGAGTGAACACCAACTAAAGTGGCTTCCGAAAACCGCCCCACCTTCTTGTGGGTACATCAAAGTCTGCGACTTGCATAAGCAACCATGGTTTGCAAATGATTCCTATGAGCTTGAGAGGCTCGGCTTTCGTTTTGGCAGCTGTCACGACTTGTCACACCTGGAGTGTCACGACCTGTTGGCTGCAGGTGGCGCACGGGGAAGGCGCAGGCTGAGCATGTACAGAGCTTGCCGGGGCCTCGCAACACAGGATTTTATCGGTGAGTCACAAGGGTGTCCTTTACCCTACGTGCCTTTTGCCCTTTGTTACAGGGTGAAACGTGGCTACAACATGACCATGTGGTCAGGGGTAAAGGGCTCCGTTTGTACTTGGCACCTTTGTCACTAGCTTCTTTTGGAGTCAGTCGTCATTCGCGATTAGCAAAGCTTGAGCCGCGGAGACCAAGGGTCCAATGTTCTTTAGTTCCGCTCCCAAGCCACATGAGGTCTATTCGGACACCCCAATTTATGGGGATCCGTTGTCTTTCACAGACCTCACATGGGCACCCACCCACACAAGAGCAATCTGCGCATCCCACTCGTCAGCTGTAGAGGGGTCGCGGGGGAAACCGGGCCGGCAAGTCTCGCATGGGCAACAGGAATTGCCTTGTACAGCATTGGTTGCTTTTGGGTTACACTATTTGACATCGAGTAGGTGATTCTGCCCCTCCTTTGGCGAAAGGGACAACTCAGCAGTCCACAACGTACGGTGGGCATGGTCCGAGAGATTTTATTCAAAAGGTGGGTCTCTCACCTCCATGCAGCCCCTTAAATGTATATACTGTCAAACGACGTTTTGCTTTCCGCTTTGTGCCTGCAGATCGTGCCAGCATTGAGCCTGTTGGGTCAAGGCTGAGCCCAATGAACCTTGAGGGCATGCGTGACCAGGACAAACTCAATCTCAGCGGTTGCGTTTCAGATTCAATGGACTTTCGGTGGCTTGAAATGGTCCTGCGTTCCTCCAGGCAAGGGACTTGAACCCTCGAGCGTCGGGCGACGTCTGCCCAGGACCTCTCCGCCTGCGCAGCTCCCTGAATCTCGACTTGCGCTGTGGCTGCCATTGCAGCCATGGAATCATGGGAGGGAAATGACATCTCAGGATATCTCAATTTGTTTTCTTTTTCCAGCAGCACTTCCAGAGAAACGCCAGTGTTTCGAAGGATCGCGCCGCGATGCAGCACTTGCGCTGCTCGGGCCTTGTTACAGATAAACCATCTTTTCAACGCGAAGTTCGTAACATCGACCTCAGTGTGTCTTGCGCCTGGGGAAAAGCACACCGCGGCGAGTTTTTGTTTTGCGCAGGAGTCAGAATGCTGAGCCATGGAAAGCATGCACTGACCAGTTGCTCACACCTGCAAAGCACCATTTGTTTGGTGACCTCTAGGACAGGCACAGCTTGGCCCGCCATAGTTGGCACACTCGGCCCGCGACCGCATAGCTAAAACGGGAATTGTTTGCTTCTCGTGCAGGAGAGACAGATGCCCACGATGCAACGGCAGCTCTGCCCTTGCCCATTTAGGCCCAAATAAATGCCTTTAGCATTCGCACGCAGCCCGGCAAAGGACCCAACCTAATGGCGAGAACAACGCAAAGCAGACCTGAACAGTGCATGGCAAGCAACTTTAGCCTCTTTGGAAAGAGGATTACCAAAGTATCCATGGTATCGTCAAGACGTCACTCTTTCAAATCTGCCTGTGATCAAGGTTGCTGCATTGTTTTGGTTGACATTCTCTATCTTTGCTCCAGCTTCCTGACACGATACGATTTGGCCACTCAAAGCATGACCTGTTCCGCCACGCTCCTTTGGTCCCTCCCCCCAGCCTGGACGCCAGTGACCTGCACCATGACCTCGCGCTTCCCCTGGCGCGCCCTGGGCTGCGGGGCAAGCGCCGCATGGGCGCAGGCCAGATCGGGATGGGGCGGTAGATGCGGCGGCCCCAGTGGTGCCTGTGTTTTGCCCTAAATTTGAAGCTAAGCTTGTTAACCCACCCTAAATCAACCCCACACCTGGCCTAATCCAATCCTACACTTTCCCGACACCCGCCCTTCCCCCCGGCGCAGGTGTTTTCGGCGCGCTACCTGCGCGGGGACGTGGGCTCCGGGTCGGGCGTGGACGAAACCACCAGCGCGGAGTCCAAGAACGCCACGGCGGCAGCGTACTCCAAGGCCAAGCTTTTCCGTGCCTCGGAGTCGGGTCGGGTTGGGTTGGTCTGTTGGAGGGTTGGTGGGTTGGGGTGGGATTGGGGTGGGGGGTGGGGTTGGTTTGTTGTTTTGTTGGTTGGTTGGTTGGGAACCTGGACAGCCGATGGTTATTTTCGATGAATTTGGGGCTAGGTCAAAGTGAGCATCTAAAGCATTTGGGGCTGGCCCTATGGCGTGGGCCAGTTTGGGAGGAGTGGGCTGAACGGGACCGCAATCTTTTGGTTTGTCGTTGTTGTGTCCTTGTGTTGAGATCGCCGATGCTTGCCTGTTGAATACTGGTTTGTTTGTTTCGGGTTTGTGGCAAAGAAAGGATCATCGAAAAAGGACCAACAGATTTTAAACGTTGTTGGGAGTGAGCCGTTGTAATGGTGTGATCTTCGGCCGGTGAATCAACGCTCACCAAGAGCTCACATACCTGAGAACTCCGTCGGGCTAAAATAAACGCCGTTGTGATTTTGGACGGGAACTTCTGCCGCCGCAACAAAAAAACGCTGTTGAATTCAAGAAACACCGGCAGTTTGCAAGAAACGCCGTTGGCCCCTGGCTGATCCAAATCACTTCAGGGCCTCGGCGCAAAGCAGTATCAGAAGGTAGCAACATGAAGCGCTGAACACAACACAAAACTGACTTTCGCTCCCTTGTAAGGCGGCTTCGTCGATTTGTGACATCCGGATCACTCCTTAGCGAAGATTATTTGAAGAACTTCATCAAGAAAGCGTTTGCGATGCTTGGGCTCGAGTTCCGCCGTTGGGACGCGCGTTTCCGCCGTTGGGACGCGCGTTTCCGCCGTCGGCACCCTGGTTTCCGCCGTCAGGACGCGGGTTCCCGCCGGTGCAAGTCAACACATTTGGTGGCAAAGCAGATGGGTATTCCAACAGGTCGCATCGAGTTTCACCAATTCACAAAACCTAGCGGAAAACCTGGGAAAGTTGCATAGTCGCGGTGCGCAGATCTTGCAAAGCAGCCCACGTCAGGCAAAATGCCCACCAACCGCAAAAACGCCGTCGCAAATTGAAAAACGCCGCCACAACCCGCTCCCCTTCGAGTTCTGCCTCTGGACGGCAAAAGGCGCCTTTTCGAGTCTCAGGCTGATTTTTTCGCCTTTTGGATGGAGTTTATAGGTATCAAGTGGATGCATGCATAAAGGATTTCAACAGGCGTTCGCGCGGGAGTTGCTGGTGCCCAGGTCGAGATCCCTTCGCCTTGGAGCCGGCCCGGAAGGTATGCGTGCTTATCGGCATGACAGGGGTGGGCAAGAGCGCCACAGTCACTTGGCGGCGGTCTGGTGCCTTTTAACTTGTGATTCTATGTAGGCACAAGCACAGGGTGGGAGACCTTTATATTCACTTAGCAGTTGTTCACGCAAAAGCCAACGTCGTTTTCCTTTTCCCGGGAGCTCCTTGTGTGGAACCGAATAGGAGCAATTCGAGGCCAACACCCTGTGCGGCGCGAAGCGCGCCTTTGAGACGGGCTCCTCCGTGGTCTCGGTGACCGCCGCGGTACGGGTCCGGGACTACTCCTTCGCAGGCAGCCGCTGGCGGGTCATCGACACCCCAGGCCTAGGTGCGGGGCCAACGGGCACGTTTGGCGAGCGTGGGCGCAGGGGTCCCGATGTTTCCCTTTTCGGCGGTATAAACACCACCTTTGCCCAAAGGTGCGCTTCTCTTGGCAGTGACATGGGGACTTATGAAGAATTCTGGGGACTCTCGGGTGCACTTTGGCTTTCGGGGATGCAGGCGACACCAACAAGTCCCACGAGGCCATCCGGTCTGAGCTCCTGGAGACCTTCCGCTACGCGCCCCATGGCATTGCGGCCTTCGTGGTGGTGGTGCCCAAGGGCAGGCGAGCGACTCCCGGGACTCCCCTAAGTCTTCCTGAGGTGGCATCTGATTATCAGGGAAATCCAAGTGAAAACATAGTAAAAACATGTGGAACACCTTTTCTCTGAGAAGCCCATTTCGTGTATTTTTCCGGGGACCTTTGTCTTCGGGTTTTCGAGGTTCACCGCGGAGATGGAGCAGCGGGTCCGGGAGGCGCTGGACATCTTTGGGGGGCAGGCCATCCGGCACACCATGATCGCGGTGACCCGGTCCCAGGCCGCGCCTGTGGCTCGACGTAAATTGGAAGTCCAGCCGAGCCCTTAGGGGGAACGTTTCGAGGTGCAGAGCAAAACACTTTTGTTTTGGGGGGTTGTGCCGTTTGAAAGACATTTTTCAGGGTAATTTGGAGGACGCCGCTCTAATGGGACCCAGTCGTAGGAATCTTAAACAACCGTAGATGAGGGTTCCAATTCAGGGAACCATGACAAAATCTTTCCTTGAGGTACCTTGGGTGGGAGAGCCATGGTCTCCATAAGAGACCCATGTCACAGACCTGGCTGGCGAGGAAAAGCTGGTGGACGACATCATGCGCCTGCCGCAAGACCACACGCTGCGGCGGCTATGCGAGCTGGTGAGCCAAAGGCCCTGTAGGGTGCCCAAAAACACAGGTGCATGGGCGATTGTTTCACAAGGGATTTCCGATTTCTGGTGCGTGATTTTGAATAGTTTGATGGGATAGCTGGCCTTTCTGCTTTCAGCTTGGTTCGACCATGTTGGTTCCTGGTTTCAGTTTCGGTTTACTCGTGCCATCCTGGGCACCAACTGCGTGTGCAAACGGGCTCTGTGTATTCGTTTTCCAGCCCCTTCCACAGGAAACGGAGCGTCATCCAAGTTTCGATGTCCGAGCTGTCTTGCATCGACAGCTCAACCTTTGGATCCAGCAGTCGATGGCTATCAGCTGCTCGTTTGTTTGCTCTAAAAGCGTCACTTTCCAAAAGGTTAGCCAGTCAATCAGTCCGTTCAATTCTTACCGAACAGCAAAGTATTTGTTGGTAGAACCGTTTCAAAGACAGGTGCTTGGCCGAAGTGTTGGTTGGTTATCACTTATAAACCTACAAGCCCTGGTTACGAGAGGCGACAAGTGTTATCCCCGTTATGACCAAATGGTTGTGTCTTTTTGAGGATTGCCTTGGGGTGGTTTTAAAGGGAAACCAAAAGGACCCCACCCATTCGAGGGGTTCCCAATTCGGACACATTGCAAATTGGCTCCGGCGAGGGTGCTGCCGATCGAGAACGTGAAGGAGCCCGCTGTGGCAGTGTCTCGGCTGCTGCTGCACAGAGGCGCCTCACGCCTCGATTTCGCGGGTGGCGTTGCCGAGAGCGGTGGACGTGTTCACTTTTTGGAGGCTAACGCACCGCAAGCCATCGGTTTTTTTCTTCTTTGACTCTACAAGGCAACGCAAACGATTGAGTTGAAACATATGCTTGCATGAGATAACTGACTAACCCCTTGTCTCAAGGGAAAAACAAGGGTTGGGGTTGTTGGGCATTCAAAATGGGGCCATTGATTGTTTGGTTTCCTCTTTCCAAGATGTTTGCCGCCGTCAGCCTTGGTGTTTTTTCTGCTGGATGCAACACAACCGCATGGAGGCTCCTTTTTTGCACACATTCCAATGCCACCCTGTGGAGGCTTCAGGGGCCGTTCCATAGATGTGCTGCAAGCATAGCGTTGCTTGCCAACTTTGTAAAGACGTGACGCCCTCTTTGTACAGTCGCTGGAGTGGTGCAGATTGACGTTGTTTGAGCACTGAGCCGAGTGTTACCGGCAATTCAGCTGGGAGGCGTTGATGAGTTGCTGGAGCTCAACAACGAGGAGAGGTGGCTGGGCCTCAAATTGGCCAGGAATTTTAATGTTGGAATACCCAGTGTTTTTTTTTTTTTGTCCACCAAATGGTCTTTTTCCAGTTAAACTTCATAGCCAGATGTGCGCAGCCAGATGTGCGTAGATCGGAAAATCATCCACTTTGCAGTTGGTCGCATGGGTTGCTCGCAGAATCCAAGTGTTACCGTTACCGATTGTCCCAAAAAGCCAGGGGACTCAGTGATTCCCATGTCCTTTACGGGAAGCCATCAGTATTCTGACCGGGACTCAGGTGTGGTGCACCCCTTTTCTGGGAAGCCATTTTTTTTGAGGGTACCCTTTCTTGTGGTTTTGAAGGAAATCCAAAAGGAACACCGCCATTTCCCATATCGCTCTACATGGTCCCAGTTTGCTCCCCCCTTCCCCCCCCGCTTTCCTTGACCGGGGAGGGCTTTGGCCCTTCTGAGGTTCCGAGGTCAGAGCTCCGGTCCGGGCCTTTCAGGGCCGGGCGCGGTTCGGGTGGCTTTGGAGGGCATGCCCCACGTCCGCTGCTCCACCAAGTGGGCGGAGGATGCCCCGCGGCTGGTGATCACCTGTGACTTCTGAAGAAGGAAACTGGCAGTCGCCCGGCAACGGGTGCTTTCATATGGGGTCAAAGCAACAACACAGCATCAGCAACAAGAATAATAATGACAATAGGAGAGTACCCCTCATTTGGACCCTTCGTCTGTGGCCCGAGCTCACGAGCAATGGCGGGAGTGTTTGCCTGCCTACGACAGGGAGCCTGCTAGGCTTTCAACACGTGGGGCCTAAGTGAGACTTGGAAAGCTACCCAATTGGTGGGCCTGGATCCACTCGTAGCTTTGCAAATGCGGCGAACCCAGCGGATACTTTTCCAGTGCCGTCGCCGCTGTGGGAAGGTGGCACTGGTGGCTGATCCCAAGGATTAGGTGGAGTCGTTTTGGTGAAAGTCATGTTTTTTGGGGATCGAAGCCGAGCTTTTTTTTGGTGGAGCAGGCCTTCGCCAGTACAGGCCATGAATGGCACAATTTCGGGGAACAACGGAGCTTTGATGCAAGCGATGGCATCGACATGTTCACGTGACCTTCGCTGGCTGCCCCAAAGGAATCTCCTCGCTTGAGGCGAGTGGGTAACCCAAGCGGGGCTTGGTTTCAGTTCCAAAAGAGGCACGCCAAGCAGGGCGCATGTTGGGTGAGCTGAAGCTCCACGTTGCAGGCTTCACAGGAGGGGCCTAGACCAAAAGCCACGACAAGACAGTTCGAACCAACAGAATACATCAAAATACGGAGGATTTGTGCGGGGAAGTGGATTTGCGTGACAAGCTGAAATGATGCGGTTGTTTTCCTGTGGACCGCCCAGCTCAGCCCTGGCTCACAGCTTCTTCCCGTTGTTGGGGTGACACGGGCTTCGTGTGTCTCAAGGTTGGGCAGACTAGCAAGAGCAAAGGGTCCACCTGCATTTCGAGTAGTTCGGATCGAGTCTCAACAGGGCGCACGGTCATTCAAATGGGCACCAAATTTAGCTGTGCCTGAATGCAGAAATGCGTCCCCTGAGCTTCCTTCAGCGTACAGATTGTTGTAAGCTGCCCGTCGCCAGCGGAGGGCCCCCATGCTCCATGGTGGCCTTACCTAATCGGAGTGATCCATTTGGGATCTCCCCAAGCCTCAGCTTACCACTGCGCACTTCGCGGTCCAAACTACAGAAGCGAATTGGCACGCCTCCATTCCCTAGAAAACCAAGCTAGCAAAATCAGAGCTAAAACTCTTTGGCAATGCTCTTCTCTCCCAAGGCTTTTCTCATCCGTCCGCCATCGTCCGCCCCCCTTCCTTGAAACACACCGGCAACCCTCAACACCGAACACCCCAGCCCCTCAAACCTCATCACCCCACCTTGAAAACAAGCAGCTCACATTCACAAACAACATCCAACCCCAGAGCCCCCCCACCCCCACCCCATCCTTTCCCTGTTTTTTTAGCCATCTAGCTCTTCCGTTCTTCGTCCATTTCCGCTTTTTCCAGAAAGTCGCCGCCTCCTTTGCCCCGTGCATGGCGGACGCCTATGGCGGCGCCGGTGGCGCAGCTGGAGCTGCGCCTGGCGCAGTGCCGGGAGCGCCTCACCGCGCTGCGCGGCCGCCGGGCCGGGCACGCGGACGCCGCCGAGCGCCTCAAAGGCGCCGAGGCCCAGGAGGCGGCGGGCGTGGCATTTGGGGCGCGCGACGGACGTGATGGGCGGAATGGGGCGGAATGGGGTTTGGTGTTGAAGGGGTGGGGTGTTTGGGGTGAACAGGAGTGAAACGGAATCTTAGCAAGAAGAGACACCCATGGTGAACTTTGAGGGAGAGGGGACCGATGGGAACATCAATCACTCCCTGTGAAGATCGGCCCTGGAACTCTCAGCATTATTTTGTTGACCGCCTGCTGAGTTGACTGAGCCAAGGGGAGGATTTACAACATGATCTCACCTCGAATATGGCTCGGTTGGACTAATTGTCAATGTGTCACAATGCGTCAGCCACTTTAGTTCGCAGTTGGGCCAGTCTTCCAGCCTTTGTTGTGAGCGACAGACGTATGCATATTATGCTGCATATGTATATATTATATATATATATATTTAAATATGACCTTCCGTTTCCCAGGAACATATGATCGTATGATGCAAAACAAAGGGAAGGGTCACTGCTTTGAGACGTGGGCCAGTTTAGCATCTCATTAAATGTTTTGACAGGAAGGCTTCAAACATGGTCTGTCACAAAAGGGGAACCCTTGGACCTTTTTGAACATGCCACGCCCTTTTGGATGCTTGGTGAGGTGTGGGGATGTCGTTTGCCGCACGAAGCGGCGGACCACTGGCAGGGGAACTGAGCGCTCGTGGTTCATAGCGGGATGCGGAGGGCGCGACAACTCTCCAGAAAAGCGAAAACAGCTCGGAATTGGACGTTCCAAGGCAGGAAACAGGAACTGAGCAGGAGTCCTCGCCAGGTCAGCGCATGGACGGCCGAACTGCATGCGAGGGAGGAACAGGCGGCTTCGGACGCTGCCAAGGCCAGGGCGTGCAACCTTGGGCCTTACATGTGCTTTATTGCAGCTTCTCGGGGCCTTTGTTCACTTTTTCTGGCCGACTAGAAGATCAAACATCATTTGCTTGGGTCAACCCCGAATACCAAACATCTCGTTGTGGCCAACTTTTCTTGACGTTCTCGTTAGTGTGTTGCGGCAGGCGGTCAAGTGTGGGGCCCTGCAAAGTGGCTTATCAAATTGGAGTGCCCCGAAATTGCCCCTCCCCCTGTTGGTTGTTTGAAGGGAAACTAAATAAGGGGGGCCTCTATTCTTAGGACACATCCAAATATGGCCCTTTCCGAGGAAGGAGGAATTTTGCTTTTGACGCCCCAACAGGTTGTTTGACACTTTGTTTACCTTTTGGTTCATGGGTAAAAAATGACAACTTAGGATTTTGATTAAGATCCCAGATTGCAGGGAATCCAAACAGGGAGCCCTTAACAAGGCCTCTAAATCATAAAGATTGTTTGGGATCTAAAGAGCATCAATAAAGGAAAGCCGCGTTTATCTCATGCACATCTATATTTTTCAGGGGAGTCTGGAGTCTTTCCCTTTGTGCCCCTTTCTGCCTTCATTTTTGTGTAAGACATGTCCCGTGTACGTGTCCCAATTTCGCATAAGACATGGGCATGGGAAACTACACCACCAGTGGACCGCAGTTTTGTCGTCCCTGTTTCCATTTTCCAGCGTTCCATTTTGGGGTTCAGCCGCATTGCCACGTCTCTTCGGGTGTCTCAACGCCAACAGTTCAACAGCTCCCCGTCGAGGCCCGGGAGGCCGAGGTGCTGCGTGGAGAGGTGGCCTCGGCTCGGCAGCGGCTGCAGGAGGTGGAGGCGGCGGCCTCCAGCCACCTCTACGGCGAGTGGAGGAGGCGGTTTAAGGGAGAGGGGAGAGCGGCGAGGGGTGGAGGTGGGTTGATAGGGGTTGCTGGAGGGTAGTTTATGGGGGGTCTGGTGAGTTGATGGTGGTTGATAGATTGATAGGAGTAGTTGACTGGTGGAGGTGGGGTTGGGGTCTTGGTTGGTTTGTATTGTATTGTATTGTTTTATTTTATTTTGTTTGTTTTGTGTTGTGCTGCAGTACTGTACTGTGTTGTTTTGTATTGTTTTGTATTGGTTGGTTGGTTGGTTAGTTGGTTGGTTGGTTGGTTGGTTGGGTGCTTTAGGGTGAACGATTTGTTTGGCGGAAGGCCCATGCACAATTCTCGAGGTGCTTGCCCTGATTGTCGAATGGGCGCCAAACCGGTAGCCCATTTTGGGAGAACAAGCCATTTTTTCAGGCGAAGCACATGGATCACGTCTAATCTATCAATGCATTGTCAATGGGTGTGGAATCCAGCGAGCCCAAGGGCACACGTAGAGGAAGGATTCATTCTGAGGACGGTGCAATCCGTGTGTCCCTGCATGACAACACGTCGAATCACAAGTCATATTTCGAATGCTATTTGCCGACTTCAACCGTTTGAGAAAGCCTTTTGATCAACCTGCTTGGTGGGCAGCCTATTGCTATTCTCCATTGTCATTTCAAGCTGTGTAGTTGATTCGTGTTCGGCATTTGGCGCTGTTTAAAGTACTACATTATTGAGCGGTTGACATTGCAATTGTATGTCCGTTTATTGGCCTCAACGCAGCAGAGGATTCCGCTCTTGGAGACAGGCATTTGTTCTTGTGTACCCTCGTTGCTGTTGCACCGGCCTTTCTCTTGGCGTTATCTATTCAGTTTAAACTCCTTGTGTGTCAACGGCTGCATAGCCTCCCTCCGACGGCAGCCCAGTTGAGGGCAACGGATCACGGTTGTAAAAATTACCAACGTATGTTTATGTGATAGAAGAAGGCCTTCCCATGACTCATTCCTCTCTTTAAAACAGGATCTTTGATATCACAGAAGTGGAAACAAACACCCTCAAACCCACAAGCCAGGAAAGGATTTGGAAGCCATTTGGAGGTTTCATTTGGAAATTCAATTTGGTACTTTCCGTTTGAGCCCTGCAATTCTTTGGCAATCTAGTGCAACCCAGATGGGTGGGTCCAAAACACGGGGGGCCAGCAGCAACGATTGCGGTCCTTCAAGTTATACGGTCTTTGAACATCCAAAAGGTACTCAGGATCCCCCGCAGACAAGCAGGCCCAGCAGACAAGCAGGTCCAGCAGGGGGTATGCTTCCAGTTTTAGAAAGCTTTTCGTGCGCTTGCCCGCGGCTTGACGCCTGATGCGTGCCGTTGACCCGTTGACCCGTTGACCCGTTGACCCGTTGACCCGCCTGATGCGTCCACAGTAAGAACCGGTCCGCTCGAGCGTGCGAGGCTTTTCTTCGCGCACATGCGCGCCGGTGGGGACCTGGAGGACTACTCCATGCATGCATTCCTGCGAGAGGCGACCGGAGAAGGCTTTCCACGGGCCCAATTGATTGGAGCGAAATCCAGTGGCTGGTTGTTCCCCCGATAGTTAACAGGGTGGAAGCTCCCTGGATTCTCTGATGCAATCTCCAGCTCCATCTGCCAGCTCCAAAGGGTTGAGGCTTCAAGCGTTTGCCTGGGATCAGCAGGGAAGACCGAAGCGGCAACTGACGTTTCTTGTTTGAGGACCTGCCCAGTTATGAATTGGTTGCCCAGAAATCCCGTTGAGCGAATCACGGGAAGCCTTTTGTGCCCAAGGTGAAAGCAAGGGTGGCTGCCCTTGATTTGAGGGTTGAACCTTGAAAGGGCAACTGACTAGACCACACCACTGACATTTTACACGGTCTGAACGTCACGCTCCCTCCTGCGCACGTTATTTGGCCAAACACTTGGTGACAAATTGGGCAGAACCTTCTTTGGCACGTTTCGGAGAAACCGCATGTTATTGTTTGATCGTTGAACTGTCCGATTTTAACAGGAGCAAACGTGGAGCCCCATGAAAGAGGGCCCCCTGCATTTGAAGACAATAGGATAGTTGGTGTATATATAAATATATGCTCACCCCCCTCCCCCATGAACTACCTTTCCTGCACTGCAAGCCCTCATCTGCACTCAAATTCGTCATCTGTGAGACTTCCTCCCAAACCATGCAACATTTGCATCTGCAATCCCAACAAGCAAATCATTTAAACATCTAAGCTACTATCCTCAATGTACATGAATAAATCATTTGTTCCTCGCTTGGATGGGTGACCTCCATTCTATGTAGTTAGTGAGCTTAGGTGGGTTGCTAGTCCGCTTACAAGTTGTCTAACTTGAGTTAATAAGTCTGCTAATTCAGACTTGGCAGACTTACTAACTCAGGTTAGGCGACTTGCGAGCAGCTTGGCAAGTCGCCTAAGTTCACTAATTACATAGCATGTAGGCTGCATATCCAAGCACCATATCTTCGTCGAAGATCACCTCTTCGACAAGAGGTCACCTCCTCGTCAGGAGGTCACCTCCTCGTCAGGAGGTACCTCATCGTCTGGAGGTCACCTCCTCGTCAGGAGGTCACCTCATCGTCTGGAGGTCACGCCCTCCGAGACATCTTCTCTTCAGATCATCTTTGGATGCTTCTGTTACTCTCTACACGAGGTTATGTCTCATTTGCTTTATGTCATCTCCTCGTTATGTCCTCGTTACCTCTTAGTCACCTCTTCGTCCCCTCTTCGTCACCTCCGCGTAATCTCTCTTCATTTTATTACCGGTTTCTCTGCATTTATTTTCAATGTCACATGCATGAGATCATGAGGGGCAAGTTCAGGCTTCAGCTGCCCAACGCCTTCCATTTTGTTAAGCTTGACCTACATGAACTGAACACATGGGACAACTTCTGCTTCGTAGTCCGCGCGCTCGCAGGATTTCGCTGTGTGGTGGTTTGCGTAACTAGCACGTCTTAAGTTTACATATTTTGCTTTGAAGGTTAGTCGTATTGTGCGTACATTGTTTTGGTTATTTTACATTTCCTGTCAGGTCGCACGTGTCGGTGAGTCTGAGGTGGTGTGCCAGAATTCATGGGTCCGGAAAGGCAACCCATTTTTTTGATAGATCGATGTATGTTCATTGAAGGATGGCTTGTAGACCCGGGCCTAACTGAGAGTATTAAGCCAATGTCGGATGGGAAGCAATGAAGAGTGTACCCCTCGACCTAGCACCGAGTGGAATCTTCTGATGACGAAGTACATTCAGAAGTGATCTTGTTTGTCCTGCGATGACAAAGTCCGAGAGAAAGATATATGGAACAAATATGCCTTATTCTATCCGTATATAGTGGTCACCTTATAAAACAATATATGTTTGGTTTTTAGTCTTATTTGATAGCAAACCAAAAAACTCGAGGAACAAAAAAAGAAGGAAAAAACAACTTCCGAGAACAAGTCTTGGTTTTACCAAAAGTTTTGTTTTTTTGGTTTTCTCGAGTTGTTTTTTGGTTTTCCTCGAGTTTTTTTGTTTTCTGGGTAGAAAACTAAAAAAGCTCGATGGCTTTTGGTTTTTAGTCTTATTTGATAGAAAACCATAAGAACCTCGAGAAAACCAAAAAACCAAAAAATCTGGTTTTGCCAATTTGTTTTTTCTCGAGTTGTTTTGTGCTTTTTGTTTTCCTCGAGTTTTTTTGGCTTTCTGTGTAGAAACCAAAAAACTCGATGGTGTTTGTTTTTTTGGTTTTCTCAAGGTTTTTATGGTTTTCTATCAAATAAGGCTAAAAACAAAAACCATCGAGCTTCTTTAGTTTTCTACCCAGAGAACCAAAAACTTGAGGAACTCCAAGAAACAAGAAAAAACCTTGAGAAAACAAAAGACCAAAACTTTTGGTACAACCAAAACTTGTCCTCAGAGTGTTGTTTTTTTGGTTTTTGTTTTTTTAAGTCCATATTGATAAGTTGTTTGATTGTGCGCTTCATTGTCTCCATTTAAATTACAATATTTGCTAAAACAGTCTGTTTTCGAATACAGTTAGTAAAGCAATGCAAAAACTGATGGTTTTTGCTAACTTTCTATAATTATCGGAATGCAAACGCGTACCGGAAGCGGTTTTGCTCTAAATGTTGTTCTTATGATAAAACACACAAACATACAGTGTTTTTCGCATTTTATGCAGTGCGGAAAAGGTAGTTCATGGGGGGTGGCCATACATATATATATATATATATACACATAATATACATATATATATATATATACATATATATATATGTACATATATGCAAAAAAAGCACGGCCCCCAGAGGAAGATGTGTGGCGTCAAGGGATAGATTGTGTGGACACATTAACAAGAATCCCTTCGCTGCCCTTTGTTTTAGGGCGGCAGCACTTTTCGTGGCAACGCCTTCCGCGAACTCTGCCTCTATCCCAGGGCCACTTTGAAATGCCAAACAAGTGATGTTTATCTCGTCAAAGGGGAAGTGCAGGGAACCCTCTGGAGTGTGTCATTCAAATCTGGCTGGTCTCCGGTGTCTTTTTGTTCAGGGGTTTGAGACAGACCCAGGAGATTGCCGACGCGGGATGAGTTTCTTTTTGAGAGGGGTGGGGCTTTGGGTCTGAGCTACAGGGAACTCTACCCATGTTGGGTTGAGTGGCCAACTTTCCCAAGGATGGGCAGGGTATTAGCTCACCGGCCTTTTGCAAGAGGCTTTTTGCGTTTTCATGTGTTGAGGAACGCTTTTGGTTGTGGGGGTTCCCTATTCTGAGAAATCATCACCCGCTTACCGCCCTCTTGGTTCCTGGACGTAAATTTGTCATGTAGTCATTTGTCAAAATAGAGCGTCCGCTAAGTTCCGTCCGTTTCAGTTTACATCAAGCTCCTCCCAGAGGTCTGCGATGTAATCCCGCTGGCGGACCTGGAGTCGGAGGAGCGTGTGGCCGCCGAAACTGAGGAGGACATTGCCACTTTGGAGGCCCTGCCTTTGGGCCGTCGGGAAAGGGCACATGGGTTGGTCTCCAAAGGAGTTGTTGTCAAAATAGGGATTTGGACCTGGCAGCGGATCTTTTGGTTTCCCTTTGAAGGAGAAAAGGGGAATTACTCCCCAAAAAGACACCAAATGGCTAGGAGTTTTAATGAGGAGCTCTGCCAAATTGTTGGTGGACATAAATCCACCAAGATGACAGAAATTTCCTCAATTGAAAATTAGAACGGGTAGCCCAAAGACTACCAGGTCTCCTCTTTGGTCGTTTTGCAGCCCGACGCAGGTGCGGCTGCGCAACGTGGAGGCGCTGGCGTCGTTTGTGGCACCTTTGACTGTGGGGAAGTTTGGGTGTGTCTAGTTTTTTTGGGTGCAGAAGGAGAACCAAGACGAAAACTGCTATTTTGGGGGTCTCCCCAGTTTCAAGACACTTTGCGATGCAGATGATCCTTCTTGAAGGGGGCTGGCACATAAGCGGAAGTTTCAGCCCTCCAGATCGGCACTTTCAGCAGCTGGATGCTGACAGGAGGGTTTCAGAAGAGCATCACCTGAAAGGACAAATTTCGGCAAGTCACACCCCCTGGCCCACAAGCAATCCACAAGGAATTATGCCAGTTGGGTGTGGAATCGCTGCCTTGCTTGAAAGCTACGTGAGAGCCGTTCCTCGCTTGCATTGATGAAAGGCTCAATATGCAGTCCTCGCTTGCCACGCCATGATGTCATGTCGGGCAACTCGTAAGGTTCAATCCCTTCCTCTGTGTCCAAGCGGTTGGATTGCCTCCGAAGCCTTGGTCTTTCATTTCGTCATTCATCCGATGTTCTGATTGCCTACCTGCCGCCATCCAATCGAGATAGGGTCACCTCCTTGGTACCCAGACTGGGCAAGGCACCAATGTCTCAAAGTTGATCAGCGTAAGGGGCGCCTTGCCGTGAAAGCCAGAGGGCCCCCTCCCCCAGGTTCCCAAGCCGAACAAGGGGGGGAGATCGTTTTTTTGTCATCGTAGATTTGCAAGGGACTCCTGTCAGGGTGCCGTGTTGTCAGGTTGTTTTAAAGGGAAACCAAAAGGAACGCAGACGCCATTTTGGGGGATTTAAATCCCTTTGACGCAGACCCATTTGTCTAGAAGTGTGGCTGTGTGGTGCTGCAGGAGACGGAGCAGCAGATCCACAGCGAGAATTTGCGCCTGGCCGGGGAGTGCGGGGCCTTGCGCGCGCAGCTAAAGGAGGGGAATGGATTTTCGCACGACAGACCGTGGAATGTTTGGACAGCTCATCCCTGCCCTTGTTTGTCCCATGGGCGTGTCTTCTTTTATAGGGGACCCGGCTGTTTTAACCCCCTCAAAAGGGGTACCCCCCAAAACGGCCCCAGGCTTGAGCGCCGAACTCCACATCATATGTGCCAGTCAGATCTGTGTGAGCAGAGGGCCGGTGTGCAAGGAGAAACACCGATTGGTACGGGGCTATCGCAAGATTCAGAGGGTTTCATCAAGTTTCATCCATTCCAACTGGCACGAAGTGGATTTTGCCCATCCACAGCAGCCAACTAGGACCAAGAGTCCACCAACCAGGGATGGCAAAATGGGCGCCTGCGAGACACCTGCTACCAGCTCACCCTCCGTGAGGAGCAGGACAGCCATCCGGGAAGGAGAGAAGAATCGTGGGCATTTTGGACTCGATGATCAATTAACTTACGAAGTAGGTTGCAATCAATGTTTGTAACCTACTAAGTGGGATGAACCTCCAGACAAGTAGCAGAGATAAGGAAGGAGCAGGGAAGAGGTAAATTTGGAATTATTCCTATTCCTCCCATATGCCAATTGCACCCTCAAAGCTTGCAATATGTTCCATCCATCCAGTAGAATCCTCAATGAATGCTTGATCCCTCCAAGCAGGGAACAAGGACTCTTCCTAGTTCTGGATAGATTGTCCCAACCCTTCCTCCCCTTTCATTCCCTTGGGTGGAGCGAAGTTGTGCCTGCAACATACCAACTTTAATGTCCCTCGGATGGCCTTAATATGGATCCATATGGCGTGCTTGCCTTTGCCATTCAAGAATTGCTTGATCAGCTTTGACAAGAATCTGTGTTTGCTTGCCTTTTCAACGCGGTACTCCAGATGACTGGTCGCAGCGCGTGAAAGTCATATACAGCCTGAGCAGCAATCGCTGCACTTGGACTGTAGGTGAGATTCAGCCTGGTGGTTTTACCCCGGCAGGCGACAAGCCGGCAGTTGGTCTGGTGGGGTCAAGCAGCGCCGGAACTTCACTTCTGAATGGGCCGGTGATGCTGGGGATGCGGCCAACTAACCCCAGCGTAGCCAACCAGGTCCAGAGTGCCTTCTTTGCCCCAGTGAAGCGCGTGAAGAACCGATAGGAGGGAAGGTGCCCCCTCCCCAATCAAACAAGCTAAGCCCAAACCCAGCGCATCTCCCTACCACTCTACCAGGCTACCGAGGTTGCTTTGTTCTTGTGGCGAGCTCCAGGAGCAGCACCGGGACGGCGCCTCGCAGTTGGAGCGGCAGCTGCCGAAGCGCCAGGAGGAGGTCAATGCGGCCGCGGCTGTGCTGATGTGGCAGGGGAGGGGGTGCCAAGGACTTTCATCGAACCATATCCGAATGTGCACCAGAATGCCAGCTGAATCAAGCTCGAGGCTTTGTTAAACATCAGCTCACTGTTGTAAAGGCTGCGAGTCTGAGCCTGCGGCCGCTGCGGCCTCCGCAGCCTCCACAGACTTGAATCATCCACCCCTGCATGGGGCTTGCTCTCAGAAGTCAGAAGTGGACGAGCCGATTTAACAAACCCTTTTGGGGTGTTGTTTCCAAGCGGAGGGACACCATGCAGTTCGGGGGCTCGGAAGATCATTTTGAGACACCCCCTGTTCATATTGTTTTTAAGGAGACCCCAAAATTTGCCACCCCGTTTTTGGGGGGCTGCCCTTGCTTGGACAGAACCCAAAGGGTTTCGCCTTAGGCGACCAAAGTTCAGCTGTGGCGGCAAGAGGCCCAGGAGCTGCGACGCGAGGCTGCGGAGAGAGGGTTGGTCTTCACAGAGTTTGGTCGTCAACGTGGAGCCTCAAGATTGATCTGGCCGGTTTTCCGGGAGGTTCAATGCTTCCAGGGGTGAGGCTCCCTGGCAGGCAGGGTTTGGTTTAAAATGGAGGCTAAGCCAATGGCCGGCATTAGAAGATCAAGGTTGTATTTCCTTTTTGGGTTTAGAGGAAGATTGAGGGTTGCTTTGGGGGTGGGTTGAGGGTGGATTCAGGGTTGGAAGGGTCAAGCATTGCAATGCTTCAATTTGAATGTGTGTTTCACCCACCTGGCGAAATGTTTGGCGGGGAAAATCACCACTGGAGGGTGTGGAGTGGCAGAAATGCAAAAGGGTACGGTGAAAACTATCCCAGTGGTTGAATCAGGGCCTGCCTTTGACCCCTGGTTGATTGAAAATAACGAGACCCACCAAAAGAGGGAGGCTGAAGGCAATCCGTTGGAAGACCCTTTCAATCCTGATTCGGAGGCCCACTAAGGATTGATATGCAGATTCCAGTGTCAAACACTGCCCCGAGCAACCACCTTCAAACTTCTTTCCACATATATAATATACATATTAGTATATATATATATATTGGTTTAGGTGTATGTAGGGTTAGCTTAGGGTTGGTTTATGTTGATTTAGGATTGGTTTAGGGTTGGTTTAGGTTTAGGGTTTATTGTTTAGGGTTTGGTTTAATTAGAGTGTATTTAGGGTTAGTTTAGGGTTGGTTTAGGGTTGGGTTTATGTTGATTTAGGGTTGGTTTAGGGTTGGTTTAGGTTTAGAGGTTTACGGTTTAGGGTTTGGTTTAGGGTGTGTTTAGGGTTGGTTTAGGGTTAGCTTAGGGTTGGTTTATGGTTGGTTGCGGGTTGGCTTGTCCTGGGGGTGGGGGGTGGGGGTGGGGGTGCCGGGGTTGTCGGGGTGGGGGTGGGGCCATAGGTGCCAGGATCCGGGGGCTCGGGGTCTCGGGCCGGGCAAGGGGGAAAAACCTGGGGGACCCATACCATGTGGGGGGGGGGGGGGGGGGTGGCAACACGGAACACGGTACCATATATATATATATAGATGTTACCTAAGGGCCGGACATTGCACAAAGCGAAAAGACGCCAAACTTTTCGCAAAAAGTCAAAAAGTCAAAAAGTTTTCGAGTTTTCGACTTTTTGAGTTTTCGACTTTTCGAATTTCTGGGGACTTTTCGACTTTTCGGGTAGTTCCCCCCCGCTGTGGTTTGACTTTTCGACTTTTCGACTTTTCAACTTTTCAACTTTTCGATTTTGTTTTGACTTTTCGACTTTTCGACTTTTCTAGTTTTTTTTTTTTTTTTTTTTTTTTTTTAAACAGCGCGGCTGCCCTTGGCTCGAAGAGTGCGGCCTAGCCCACTGATAAGCTCTCATGCCTTTGACTGCGACGTGCCCCTGCGTGAAAGGCACGCGTCTCGAGCCCCACAAAGTCATCTAGTATGACTGCTCAAAGAAGAGTCCACAGATAAGCTTCAGCTCCAGAGCATCATCGGCGAGTTGGGCTTCCCCGTGTCGGCATCGCGAAGCGTGAAAGACTGGCCTGCAATATCTCTGCTTCCATCTTGGGGCGGGTGACATGGCTCTCCACCTCCCTAAACTTTCCAGTCTTTGGCGGGCTTCAGTTTTGTGGGGCGTGAGAGGCTCGTGCTTTGAGCCCCACAAACTGGTGCTTGACAGCGGCGCGAAGCGCCGTGTAGCCCGCTTGAACTTTTTCACGTGAATAGCGTTAGAGAGCGAAAGGCTGATGGGGCACAAAAGGCTGGCCTGCTGCATCTCTGTCTTTATCTGGGGGTGGGGGATTACACAAGCTGATGCTTTCCAGAAAGGTCGCGGGATCCGGACTTGATGCTAGTTGGCAGACGTGTTTGCCTCAAGCGCCGCACTTGTAGCCGGTTTTGCATTTTGACTTTTTGACTTTTTTGCGAAAAGTTTCGTGGGCCTGTGGAGCCTGCAACTGGCAAGGTCTCACATCTTCACCCTTCCTGCCAGACCCGGCCTTGTAGGGCACGGAATAGGCCTTTCCGAGCCCCACAAAAAGAAATACCAAACATGAATATCAGATAGTTTGCCTTGTGGAGATTTCAATCAATGCATGCACGCCATGATTGTGAGTGAATTTTCTTTTGCGACCATTGCCACAGCTGACTGCCTTGCGCAAGGCCCCTTGCAGCACTTCTTGGCTCCAGCAGGGGCGCGGCTTAGCCCGTCAAAGCAACAAACTGCAGCAGCGCTGCGCTCGATCAGGGCAGCCCTGCGCGTGACGTGGCTCCGTCTCCTCTCTGCCTCGCAGGGGAGGAGACACCGCCGCCCCCGAGCGGGAGCGAAGCCTTTGCCCTTGTCGCCGCTGAAAGAGAGGACCTGCTTGCAACTCAAGCTGAGGCGCCGGACTACTTGAATGCCTTGGATGCTTTGGAGGTTGATGCCATTCGAGAGAATGCCGCATTGAAAGACAAGGTCTCCTCGGCTACGGACCCGTGTCAGGGTGCACGCGAGCAGGCGTGGAAGATGGCATTCCATGCTGACTTCGATTTCGACGCTTCTGAGCTCGGCGAGAAAGCCCAGCAGCTCAAGCCAGAGGATCTCGAGAGATTTCACAACGCTTGGGCCAAGTTAGTGTGCGATGTCAAAGAGGTATACCAAGCCATTGGATCCAACCGGAGGCAAGACAATGTCAGCTTGCGATCATTCGTCACTTCGCACTGCTTGGGTTTCTTCTCCGACTTGCTTGAAACCTTGGTCCCGGACCCAGTCAACGCACAGGCAGACACGTCCCTTCGCTCTGCTTGCCCGTTCATCATCGCAGAAGCTGCTGGCCGTGTTTCAGTCGGGAACGGCTTGCCTCGTGACGGGCATGTGGTTTTCAGCGCTTTCCAGGGCCAGTGTGCTTATTATTGGAACGGCCCCACACATGGCCTTCGGAACCCCCCCCCTGGAAGGAACTGAAAGTGACTGGAACGTGGCTTCAAACTTGCCTTTGTTGTGGCAGGAGAGTCAGCAGCGGGCAAGGACAACTTGAAGCGACTAGTGCTGGACTGGCTCGGCAAGCTGGGTGGTGAAGACAAGCCTGCCACGCGTGCCCTGTTGCAAGGACAGGCGTTGGGGCACGGTGAATGGGCAGGGGCGGGAGACGTTCTTTGTTGCAGGGCAAGTCTTGCGCTCGTACACCCGCTGCGCAATCCTCTGGTTAAGTGGTCTTAGCGCTTCGCTAAAACTAAAGCCTAGCACGGCCTAACCCATGGGAGGATCACTCACCGTCACGGGTATGAGGGAGAAGATGCTGCAGGAGAGTGACCTCATAGAACTCCTCGATGGTACAGACGCTTTTGGAAAGCGAACTGGGCAGCAGAATGCTTGCTTGAAGCCTGTGGTTTGGGCTTTGCTGGGCGAGCAGCTGCCGACATACGTGCGGGAGATGGGGTCGGACTCGAACGATTGCGCAGGTGCAGACCACGGCCTTTGAGGAGAAGCGCCCCGTAACGCGTCCAACCAGCTGCTGGTCAGTGTGCTGCGGGAGATCCTCCGCGCGCAGCACGCTTCCGCAAGCCCGGACGCTGATCAGCCGGAGATGGCTGGCGCGCTAGCCTTACCAGAAGGAGGTGAGGCTCAGCAGCCAAGCAAGCGACGCATTCAGTTGCGGCTGCCGCGCAGCAGCAAGCGCGCCAAGGCAGTCAGGGCCAGGGCAGCGAGATGGAAATTGAGCGCATGCAGCGGAGCGCCCCAGCAACTTTGGTGCTGGCAGGTGTGCTGGATGGCTCTGGCCAAGCTTGTGACAAGGCAGGCAAGTGCCGGGTAGCTCAATGGTGACGAAGCACGCAGGAAAAGCGTTTGGGGCAATGGCGACAGCCAACGCAGCCGGAGACAAGGTTCCAACTGATAGCCACGTCAGGATTTTGGACAGCCTTGCCGCAATTCCAAAAATGGAGATGTGCTCCACGAACCAGTTGCTGGCTGAGCGGCTGATTGAGCAACAGATCCTGGTGGACAGAAAGGCGTCAGAGACTGCCCCGCAGCCAGAGCCTGAGCTCATCCCAGACCTCGACCCCATTGACTTCGCAGCTAGGCGCCTCTTCGACGGCTTGGCCAGTGAAGCGGAGGGGGAGGAGACGCTGCTTGAGAAGGCCACCATTTTGGGCATGCCCTTCAAGATCAACAGCAAGACGGCGTGGCACAACTTCCGCCAGCTGCACTTCAGTCGTGGCAGGAAGCGACAACAAGGCCTTGAGCTGAAGATGCTGAGTAAGAGCCTAGTTGTGCGTTCAGATAGACGTAGGGTTTGTGCGGGTTTGTAGGGCACGGCAAGTTGTGGATTTGGGCGGGCCTGGGCAGGACTGCTGCGCTACGGGGGAAGCAAGGTGCTCAATGACCACGGGACCGCCGAGGGGTGGAAGACTTTGCTGCGTCATGTCGTGAGCCAGAAGGCGGCTAAGGCAGCGGCAGACGACAAAGTCATCAGGCTTTGCTGGACCAGGGATGCTGACACGTGGCTTACAAAGCTCCGCGTCAGCGGCGCTGCTCTCAAGCTGTACCGTGAGTGTCCTAGAGTTTAGGAGCCGCCTGCCAAGCGGATCGCGCGGTCTCACGCCGCGGCTGAGTGCAACGCTTCTGAGCTAATTATTACGTTGCGGGGCGGTCACGAAGATCATGCTGCGCTGGGGAAATAGGCTTGGCGAGCGCTTGTGGGGTCGTGCTTGACTGCCATGCTTCACGGCGGCGCGTGATATCTGCTGCGTGTGTTGACTGCAGCAGGAGACTGCTCACACCGCTTTGGCTCCGTGCTGCTGCGTCTTGGCTCAAAGGGAGTGCGGCTTAGCCCACACTGGCATGTTCACGTTACAAGGGTAGCTGTTTGCGCGAGACTGCGGCCACAGATTCGCCGCGCCGGGAATTTTGCCGCGTCAAATGCGCCGATGCTCTGCGTCGAGCGCGAGGATGCCCTGCTGGGCCTTGCCATCTAGCTCCTGCTTCGGCCGAGA